CTTTGATTTTGCAAATTGATCTTTGAAACATGTCATATTATGAGTTTTAAAGTGTTTTCTAGAAAATTAGCCCAAAAGGATTGAATTTGATGCTTTAAATGTTGAGTTTCATGCTTGGAGACAAATCTGAAAATTTCAGATTTTGGATTCACGCTCGAGCGAGAAACTTCACGCTCGAGCGTACACTCTGAGTTCATGCAGTCCGCTCGAGCGAGTAAAGCAACGCTCGAGCGTGAAATGCGTGTATCCAGTACTTTGCATGTGTTTACAGTCCGCTCGAGCGAGGGGATGCACGCTCGAGCGAAGACTTATGTCTCACGTTCGAGCGGGGGTCAAGCGCCCGTCGAACGTGAATTTCATGCATCCAGTACTTTTGCAGTCCGCTTGAGCAAGGAAAGTCACGCTCGAGCGGAGATCCTTTGTCTGCATGTTCACTCGAGCGTAGAAAGCCACGCTCGAGCGAGACCCCTGTTTTCTGAAAATTTTGAAAAGTGTTTTAAAGTGCATTTTTGCATCCTCATTCCATCCTAGGCATTCCTAAGCCTAATTTAAGGCATCTTAATGAGGATAATGCTATAGAACCACACCGAGTCAAGATAGAGACTAAGTTATTGTTTCCCAAACGTGCAACTTAGTGTGTGTTCATCCTGTAACTGTGTAGGGTTGGCATCCAACGACGCTCACTAGCCTATCTGTAGCCTAGAACTCTGTAAGTAACAATGTTGTAAAGATATATTCAATCATGAATATTTTCTGAATGATCAACTGTACTGCTTTCTGAAATGATATTTCTTACTAAATGAATGCTTGTCCTATTTGTGAACTGTATTCGGGGCATCCATAGCAATTTACTGTTACTGTACTGTACTGTACTGCTACTGCCACAAAGATCTCTGTCGGTTCCCATGTTTGGAACCACTACTGTTTACTTATATGATGGCCATCAACTGACTGTTCGGCCTGTTAAGACCCACTGTACTGTTTTGCTATGGGATGTACCACATATGACTACTATGACTGAATGACTGATACACTGTTATAACTGACTGTTTTAAATACTGAAAGGACATTCATTCTTAACCTCTTTACGCATATGTTATTCACTGGCCTTTAGCTCACTGTTTATATATATATGTAGGTGTCCAAGCACCGGATCGGAGTTAGGAGCGTTGGGTTTAACTCTCTTTTTGTCAAGCCAACCACTGTGCCTCACTGAGAGATTCCAAGTCCTTCAAGCTAGGGCTTTTTGGGGTGTTTTAGATTCATCCTTTCTGTCTCTATTTTTGTATAGACTGACTGTACCTGTACTGTACTGTTCTAATAGGGATTAGGTCCCTGTCCTGGATGATTGTATATGTATGTATATATGTTTTGCTTATGAATGTGAATATGTTCGGAAAAGTCTTTTTGCATACAGACTGTCACAGCTCATTGGACATCTTTTATTACTGTTTTGCCTTCCGCCAGTCCCTGTACTCTGTATTACTGTCTTTACTGTTAAGCAGGCCTTCGGTAATCACGGATTACTGGCTGGTTACGGTGCTAAACCCATAGGGGCGGATTTGGGTCGTGACACCAAGGATGTGTCCACTTGTTTCTTAGCTTCCACTGATGCTATTGAACCATCTTCTTACACAGAGGCAGCTTACTCTTCTCAATGGCAAGCTGCAATGCCGGATGAGTTTCAAACCTTACAAAAATAGGCCACCTGGTCTCTTGTGCCATTACCTCTTAGTAAATATGCTAGTGGTTCAAAATGGGTGTACAGAGTCAAGAAAAATTCAGATGGCACCATTGCTAGATGTAAGGCTCGTTTAGTTGCTAAGGGTTTCCTTCAAACCGAGAGCATTGATTTTCATGAGGCATTTAGTCTTGTGGCCAAACAACCAACTGTTCGGGTTCTTTTAACCTTGGCACTTCATTTCCAATGGCCTATCAAGCAACTTGATATCTCAAATGCTTTTCTCCATGGTGTTCTTGAGAAAGAAGTCTATATGCACCAGCCTCAAGGCTTCATTGATGTCTCTTCTCCTCATCTTGTTTGTAAGCTGCACAAGTCTCTTTATGGTCTGAAACAAGCCCCAAGGGCTTGGTATTAAACCTTTTCCACATTTCTTCAGTCTCAAGGTTTTTTGTCCAGTCACTATGATTCATCCATTTTTGTTAAGAAAACAACTTCTTTTATTCTCATTTTGCTCATCTATGTTGATGATATACTTTTAACTGGCAGTGATTCTTCTTCTATTGATTAGCTTGTTCAACAAATGCATTCTACTTTTGCCATGAAAGAGCTTGGGTCTATAAATTACTTTCTTGGTATTTCAGTCACTACTTCCTCTCAAGGATACTTTCTCTCTCAGCACAAATATGCGACTGAGATTCTTGCCAAAGCTGGGATGACTGACTGTAAATCCTACTCATCTCCTATGGCCCTTAAACAGAATGATCCCTCTACTGATATCCCTTTTTCTAATCATTCTCTTTATCGCAGCATTGTTAGTGCTCTTCAATACTTAACTATAACTCATCCTGATATTTCCTTCGCTGTGAACTATGCCTGCCAATTTATGCATCTCCCTCTTGTTAGTCATTTTGCTCATGTTAAACGTCTTCTCAGATATCTTAAAGGTACTCTCAACCTTGGGCTTTACTTTAGTCCTGGTCCTCTTATTCTTCAGGCTAACTCTGACTCTGATTGGGCTGGCAACTCTTATGACAGAAGATCTACTACTGACTATTGTGTTTTCCTTGGCTCCAATTTGATCTCTTGGTCTGCTAAAAAGCAACCAACTGTGGCCTGTTCTTCTACTGAGGCAGAATATCGTGCCTTAGCTCAAACAGCAGCAGAGCTTAGTTAGCTTACCATGCTCTTATCTGATCTTCACATTTCAGTTCCTTCTCCAACTCTTTGGTGTGATAATATATCTGTTATCTCTTTTTCCTCTAATCCTGTCTTTCATGCTCGTACAAAGCACATAGAGGTTGATTACCATTATGTTTGAAAGCGAGTCACTACTAAACAGCTCAATATTCATCACATTTCAACTTCTGATCAAATAGCTGATATTTTCACTAAACCCTTTTCTACTCAAAGGTTTCAGTACTTTCAATCCAAGTTTATGGTCCTCCAAGCTCCCCTAAGCTTGAGGGGGGCATGTTAAGCTACATAAACTTAAGCCACCAGAAACAGAGTCGCATGAGTTACACCAGCTACAGCTCAAGCCTCAGTTACAGGTCAAGGAGTTGAACAAGTCATCTGTCGCTAATACTCAAGAGCTGAGCACGTGTATGAAGTTGAGGCAGTTACAATCCACTTGTGGTGGTTAGACAAATCTGTTAGGAAGTTATGTAAACATAACCATGATTAGTTAGTTAGTGTATTGAGTTAGAAACTTATAGTGATTGTATAAAAGAGACAGTTGTATTGAAGCTTTTTTGGGAAGGTGCGTTGGAAGCTTTTTTGGCTATTTTGGCTACAAAAGACAAAATAGGCTATTTTAGCCACAACAAACAAAATATCACATTCAACCCATAATCATTACACTCTTCTCTCACAAAAAAAGTCAAAAAAGCCAAAAACCCAAAAAGCCATTCTCAAACCAAACTTTTTAGCCCAGGCTAAAATAGTCAAAAAAGCCAAAAAGCCAACTCACTTCCCAAACGACACCTGATTAAACTCATTGAATGAAAATATGATCTTCAAATCTTTTTACTTTTTAGTTCAATGAGACAAAATATCACATCTAATCCATAATCATTATATTTTTTTCTCACAAAAAAGTTTAAAAAGTCAAAAAAACTAAAAAAAATTTCTCAAATGAGACTTTTTAGCTCCAGATTATAGTGGTGTTTGGGAAGCCTTGACAGAGGCTATTTTAGCCTCAAATGGAAAAATAGCCAAAAAGCCACACCTACCATTAATTTTAAAAAAAAAAAAAAAAAATTGACTTTTGCCCGGCTGCTGCAGCAGCGCAGCCTACACTGCCACCAACAGTGTAGGCTGCAGGTTTGTTAAATTACAATATTACCCTTATATATCAATTTTGGAAAAAATAAAGTCAAGGATAAATTTGTCATTTCAATTTAAATATCATTTCAAATACATTTTTCAATACAACAATCAACCCAAAAAGCTAACCCAACTTCCCAAACACACAAACTAAAATAGCCTATTAAAATAGCTAAAAAACCAAAAAACCTACTAAATAACCACTTCCCAAATAAGGCCATAATAGTAAAAAAAAATTTAAAAATTAAAAAATTAACTCACTCTCCAAATGAATCCGAGATAAAGTGGTGAAATAAATAAATAAATACCAATTGACTCAAAAAAATGAATAAATAAATAAAGAGAAAGAAAGAGAGAAGGAGAGTGAGGCCCCGTTTGGGAACATGCTAATTTAGCAACTTTTTAGTTATTTAGCTAAAATATGAGTTAAAAAAAATTAGTATGTTTGTGATGACTTTTTGACTTTTTACTAAAAAATGTGTAAAAAATAAAAAGAAAAGAGAATATTTAACTTTTTAATATGAATTATTAATTTTTTAATTAATTTAATAATTTTTTGATTTTTTAATTAAAAATAAAAATTTCCAAACTAAGGTCTGAGTGGAGAAAGATGCAACTAAAACGGCTCACATAAGCCAAAAAGAAAGAAATTCAGAAAAGGACAAAGGTGGTAAATTGGGAAGTCTGTCCACTGAGATGCTTATACTGACTTAAATACGTATCTGGAGGAATTGAATGTGTGCAAGGGTGAAAAAGGTTGAGTGGTTAAATCATTAAAAGTAAGGTTTTAAGTGTATTGCTCTCAAAAAAAAATTATAAATATTTATTAAATAGCCCACACTTACATTGAGGTAAAATAAAGTGGTGGAATTTTAAAATTTTTTTGAATAAATTATGCTTAATATTTTTGTTCTTTTATTAAAATTCCACTTTAATCTTTCAGTTTCGGTTGTAATAGTCAATTCTTTTCACTTTAAGTTGAGTTGTAATTTTACTCTCTCATTCATTTACTGTTAATAAATGTGACAAAATTTGTCATGTGAAGTATGTGATAGTTTTATTATCTTATTAGTATTTTTATATTTTTATTAAAATTTTACTTTAAACATTATACTTTCATCAAAATTTTATTTTAACTTTACAAACAGTCGATGAATGACACGTTGAGATTGAAATTTGATTCAATGACATTGTCTTTGAGTGGAAGCATATAAGAGATTGTGGTTAAGTCGAGTGGGCGAAGTTGTTGTAGCTATCTTTTTTGGCTTCGTTGTATTTTGCTTTTAGGCTTCGTTTGTTTGCCGGATTAGGTTAAATAGGATTATGAATGCGATAAGATTGAGTGAGGTGATATTATGTTGGAGATATAAGATAAAATGTATTTGTTTATATACTAGTATGGTGGTATTAATTATGATTAAATCTATAAAATTACCCCAAAATCCTCTTCACATATAATCTACTTTTGTTGATTTTGTAAAGTGGAGGGTAGAATGATAATTTAGCAATCATTTTGTGTGAGGGGATTAGCTATCACAATCCTTCCATAAGAATGCTAATCCCACCATGGGAGGAGATTTATATTTTCATGGGATTGCTAATCCCAGACCATGTTGTTGTACATAAACATGGACTAAATGGGTGACAATCCAATCTTTCCTCTCCAATCCCCAATAAAACATGGCTTTAGAGTGCCTTGTGTTATGTCTACTGTGCTTTTTGTTCTGTTTGTTGGTTTCTCAGCAACTTAGAGCTTGTGCTAGTATATGATTAGATATGATTTTAAGTGTCAATCTAGTTGAGATTTTAAAATTATGTTATGATACTCTTTGCACTCTCTCCTTTTTATTGATATAATTTTACATACTCTGTGTGATTTGATTCATCAATAAAATTTCTTTTGTCAATAAAAAAATACAATTAAAAATGAAAAAATAAAAATAAAATTTTTGTAAAAGTGTAAGGGTACTTACTAAGTATAATTTATCTAAAAATTATATATAAATATCATTTTTCATATAATAATAGCATATAACATTCCCATTTTAAAAAAAAAAAAGGAAGAGGGGTCACTGCTGTGGTTAAGGCACAGCAGTGACTGTTGTATTTCAATTTGAGATGTATTATAAACATATTTTTATGATCCGAATCGTTCATTTTGTAGGATTTGTTGAGTACTTCATGTCTACCAAAAATCATATTAATCGGATATCAATAAATATATGATCAAATAGTATATTTTTTATGCTATTTCTGAAAAGAAAAACTTATTATTTATTTTTTGATTATCGATCATATAGTTATTGATATCCGATTAATATGATTTTTGGTAGACATGAAATACTCAACAAATTCTATAAAATGAACGATTCGGATCATAAAAATATGTTTACAATACATCTCAAATTGAAATATAACAGTCACTGCTGTGCCTTAACCACAGCAGTGACCCCTCTTCCAAAAAAAAAAAATAGCAAATAACATGCGTTTATACATAGAAGACCAGTATAGATAAATGTATATAGGTGGGTTAGGTTATGATAGCAACTTAGCAAGAACCCTAAAGAGACGGAGGCAGATACGGGAGATGGAGAATCAGATAAATGGCTTATTGCCCGGGGGTTCATAAGAGAGATGAGATGATAAACTTTTTTTTTTTTCTCTCTCTCTCTCTCATAACTTGGAAAGCAACATGAGAGAGAGTGTGAAAGCTATTTCACCCTCATGCAAACGTCCCTTTCTCTCTCTCTCTCTCATTGGGAATGCCAACCACACATGTTCCTTTCTTGTAACATCATCATGTGTATGTATGTGTAATGTTAATTGGAGCTCTCTAGGATAGTGGCGGAATCAGAAAATTAAATTAGAAGGGATATTTATTAATTATAATATTAAAATTTTTTATAAAAATATTTTACATAAATTTTTATAATTGATTTCTAAAAATATCAAAAAAATAATGTTATTTATAATAAATGTATCATGAATAATACAAAAAAAATATAGATATAAGTCTTAAAATAAATTATATAATGATAAAAAAAAATTATATAAAATTTGATTAAAAAATCAATATAATTGTAATACCACGTCATCATTGATATATGATATCATCAACTAATAGTACATAAACACATAGAGAGTGAACCTCACATGTCAAATATAACTAATAATTCAATAAATTTCATATCTTTATAGTGAGATTATTTATATTTGCATGTCAATAATAATGACATCACCGTTACATTCAAAAAATTACATAGATAATATGTTTTATAATAGTCTCTTTATTTTCAATTAAAATAACTATTATTGTTCTCATAGTTTTTTAAATGTCATTAACATTTCACTCTAATAATATTTTTGTAATTTTTTTATTTAAAATATTTTCTTTATATTTGCAAAATTTAAAAAAAAAAATCTCAAAATCCGGGGGGCACGTGACCCTTCTGGGCCTTCACTTCCTCTACCACTGTTTAGGGGTGTTACTTGGGTGGACTCAATTCGAGTAATTTAAATTCAATTTAAATTTTTTTAGAATTTGGGCAAGATATTTTCAAATTTGATATGGGTTTAAGCAAAAATTCAAAAATCCGAATTAAATTTGAGCGGGTTTAGGCAAAGACGTCAAACAATCCGAGCAATTTGAAACCAGAATTATACATATGTAAAAAAAAAATATTAAATATATATATAAATTATTAGCCATTACATGATATTAAAGTAATTTAGATTATTAAGTCATATTAAATATATTATATATACAAATAACATAAAATCTTTTTTTTTTAATTTTAACTCATAAATTATAAAGACTACTATAGCAGGATCTCTTTTGTATTATATCAATTATTTTCTTTGTTATATTAATGATTTTCTATTAAAAAAATATAAATAGAGTCAAATTTTAATAATTTAATAATGTAACTGCAAAAAAAAATGAAATTCATTTACAATTCGGGTTTAACTCAGGACGGACTTGGGCAGGTAACCTTGCGTTACAATTTGAGCCTGGACATATCTCAGCACAACTTGGACTTATCTTGGACAACTTCCTAACCCAACCGAATCCACCCGACTTGCACCCCTATCTCTATCCATCTTATGTTTAGTAGATTACCCACATAATTATACAAGGAGATTAACCAATAAATCTTACATTTTGGACTTGTAATTCATATAGTCTCATATTTTTTCTTATGATCCATTTAGTCTTTTTGAATGTATAATGACTCATTTGCCCTCCATATTGGAGTGTCACATTTAAAAAAAGTATACTAAAGATTTTTTTAATGTCACATCATATTCGTCACGTTAGAGTGTCACATTTGAAAAAGTACACTAAAGAGTTTTTAATTTTAATTGTGATAGAGACCCCCACACATACATGACTCTCACAACTCTCACTCTCATCCCAACCACTCATAATGTAGGGTCTACACATAAATGAGTGGACCCCACACACACACACACCAAGGGCCAAGATCAAATTGGGGGTCCCAAACATTTTTGTTTTAATTTTTTTAGAGTGTAACATCATACTCACTATGTTGGAGAGTCACATGTCACGTTTGGAGAGTCACATGTCACGTTTGGAAAAAGTACACTACGAAATTTTTAATTTTTTTAGAGTGTCACATCATACCCGTTATGTTGTCACGTTTGATAAAAGTACACTAATGAATTTTTATTTTTTTAAAGTATCATATCATATCTGCCACGTTGTCACATTAAGGAAAAGTACACTAAAGAGTTTTTATTTATTTTTTTTGAGTAAAAATTTTGTAGTGTCACGCCATACCCTCCACGTTGTCACATTTAAAAACGTACACTAAAAAGTTTTTATTTTTTTTGAAGTGTTACATTAATACTTGTCACATTACAGTATCACATCATACCTATCACATTAATAAAAAGATATAGTTGTCTATCAAAATACAACCAAAATAAAAAAATATGACCATACAGAAAGAAACTCTCAACTAATAGGGCTTAACAGATCAATAAAAAAAATTAGGACTAATTAGAATACTTGTTTGTGAGATGAGATTTATTAGTAAATATCTTAATATATATAAGGTTAATTATATTTTTAATGTTCAAATTATATTAGTTTAGTATCTAATGTATGAAAAATATTTCAATTTGATACTCTAACTTAATTTTGTCAATAGACTCTATTAAAATTAGGAATCTATTAAAATTAGGAATAAAAATTTAATAAAAAATTACAGTTTTAATTTCTAAAATATGTGATTTATATCATTAAAGTGGAGGTAATTGGTGCATTAAGGATCCGAATTCATTCATACATGCACTATGACCAACTTATAAACCAATAATCATTGCTTATGATCGCCCTTATTAAGATAGAGATAACCATAAAATAGTTTCAATCTCAATTCATTTTTGTTATATTTCTAAATATTTCTACTTATTTTTAAACAATTTTTCACATATTTCTATAAATTTTTGCACATATCTGAATTCAAGTATCAAGATTAATGATCAATATTCAATCATTAGATCGTGATTAGCATTTTGATAAATAAATTACAGTATCAAGAAAAGAGAGAGAGAGAATTGGCCATACTGGCATCTCTTTTATATCTATACTAAACAAACATAGACCACACACCTCACTCTGCCCCTCTCTTTTCTAACTTCTTTTTTATTCCTCTCTTTGCGCCTTTCTTTCACACAACTCATAATCAAGAAAAGGCAGATCCAAGAAGGTGGTGGTTAATCTGTCAACCCCATCAATCAATCAATCAATCAATCACACCGTCCAATCAGTTTTTAAAAGAAACAGAGAGGAATCAAACATGTCCTCCTCCTCCTCTTCTTCTTCTACCTTGTCACAGGAACACCACCTCCCTCCTTCCGAGCAACTCTGTTATCTCCATTGCAACATCTGCAACACTGTCCTCGCGGTACTGCTACCTTTCTTTGACTTTGCCTCCCACCAATTTGCTATTTTTTTTTTATTTTTTTTATCAACAGAAGAAGAGAATTTTATTGATGTAAACAAAAATCATTTGCTCATAGTCAACCCAATTAGGATAACAACGATACCAAGATACGTCAGTATGAGTAATACAAGCAAGAGGTTATTAGTCTAACTCTTTGGCAGCCAAGTCTCTCAGGAGTTTGGGAAAATAAAAGTGGAAAGGGTTGTAAAATTAAATGAAATATAAATATATTTTATTCATATTATTACTTATCTTTTTTATTTTATTTTCAAATTTCTTTTCAAAAACTCCAATCAAACACAACAATAAAATTAAGGGGTGGTCCTGAATTTCACTCTGATAGGAGTAGAAATAGGGATAAGATTTAAATGATTACAGGAAGAGTGTGAGAGTTGAACTCTCCAATAGCAACTAGCTATTAACTTTTGTCCATTAAATATATATATATATATATATCAGCAATACATTTATATATAGGTAGATATAGTGCGGTATGAGCCGATATATTAGTAATTATAGATATGGAAAAACCAAATCTTGAATCTTGGTTATGGGTTTTCTTTGTTTTAATGGCAGGTGAGTGTTCCTTGCACCAGCTTGTTCAAGACTGTCACGGTTCGATGCGGCCACTGCACGAACCTCCTGCCGGTGAACATGCTCGGGTTGCTTCTGCCTTCAACTAATCAGCTTCATTTGGGTCACACTTTCTTCTCTCCTTCCCATAATCTTCTGGTATATGATTTCACTTCTTGTTGTCCATGTTTTCTTAGCTTAATTTTGTTTGAAAGGCACTGACATGTTCTTGTTTTGGGATATTTATGTTGCAGCAAGAGATCCCAAACCCTACTCAGAACTTCTTGATCAACGAGACCAACTCGACTGACTTCGGTGTACTGCTCCGAGGAGGACTTGATGAACTTCCAAGGCCCCCAGTCATCAACAGACGTGAGATTCACAGCATATTCTTCTGTTTTGTTTCAAAGAAAACTTTAGTTAGGGTTCTTTGCCTCTTTTTCCAAATAAAATAGTTTTGAAAGTATTTTCAACATATCCTCGTATTTTTCTCTTAGCTAATCAAGAGAAGAAAGTGTTAAAAGAAGAGAAAATGCCATTTTAGTGAAAACTTCATAAAATAATTTCAGTTTGATGAAAAAGTTTATGAATTTATCTTTTGACGTTGCAAAGTTTTTCACTAACATGCAAATATATCCCCCAAATTCCATTTTCTTTTGTGCTAGCCCTAACCGTACATGAAAAATATGTATATAAACTAATTAACACACATCAATTAGAAGTCCAATGATATATCTAAGGTTTTAACATTCTTATAGAATTTAGATTATAGAATCAGACATAATCTTTTTATATAGGTGAGACTCATATACATTTAATAGATCTCATCTCATATGAGAGAGTTGTATCTAATTGTGTGGTCAAATTTTACGCACTTAGCCATTTTTTTCTTATAATATAAACCCACATTTGCCTAATTTTCTGGTGCTTTACATAGACTAAGATTATACAAATAGAATAATCGTAAGAAAAATTAATACAAAATTATGCTGTAAAAGAATTTTTTTTTAAAAAAATTGAACTAAATTTTTTAAGTTGCTACTGATACATGATTCTGTTCTTAAATTGTCCATAAATTTATGTAACAATAGAGTTTCCCTTTACTTTCTGTCTTCCATTCCGCATGTCCCCATGATTCAACCGATGCACTAACACATTCTGAAAAACAAGTCATTGTGTGTCTTCTTTTTTTTCTTTTTTTCTTTGTTTTTTCTTTTTTGGTTCCTTTTAAAACATTGTCCTTTAAAGGAACCTGTATTGCTTTCACAAATCCTATGTCTTAACGTTGTTTGAAATTTGAATAAAAAAAACGAATAGATTATCAAAAGCAACCAAGGAAACTTTCTCCTTAGGAAATTGTAAATACATAGAGTAATAGGAAAAAAAATACACTATAAATAATTTCTTTTTTACAATACACGTAAAAAGTTATACCAACTACCAAGCATACGAATGTATTTACATAATACACACAATAAAATTATATCATTATAAATAATTTTTTTCTCACCGCTCTAATTTTCCTTTCTCTTTTTTTTTTTTTTTTTAGATGTTTCGGAAATGAATTTTCCTTTCTCCTTTGACACCTGACAAGAATGCCTAGGAAACATAAATAGTAAAGAATCTATGAAGTAGCATAGAAAGATAACACGATAATTGATGAAGTGACAGTAGAGAGAGTGATTAGAACTTCATGGTGTAATTAATTTTTGGGCTAGGTTATATAGGACTTTATTCTGATTTTAAATGAATTTTCAATTAATAGATGCGGAGATTAATTTTTTGAATTAGATTTTGTTTAGAAACATGTTATTTTACTAATTTTTAAAATTTTTAATTAAAATATGAGATAAAAAAAATTAGTATGTTCAAAATGACTTTTTGATTTTTTATAAAAAGATATACAAAAAGTAAAAAAAAATGAAATATTTAAATTTTTGGTATAGATTATAAATTTTTTAATTTTTTTAATAACTTTTTGACTTTTAAACTAAAATAATTACTTTCCAAATGAGACATTAGTCTATTAGTCAGATACTGATGAAAGTTATTTTAAAAAATTAGTTAAAAATTAATTTTTTAATTCTTTTAAAAAAAATGTATAAAAAACAATATACTAATATAATCTAAAATAAATTTAAAAAAGATCACATTTAAAAGTAAAATATATGTCAGCAAAGTGATTTTAATGTGTCTGTGTGTGGTCTGTACATGGTCTCAGCTCCGGAGAAGCGGCAGAGAGTTCCCTCTGCGTACAATCGCTTCATCAAGTGAGTAATCATCGAGTACTACCTTCAATAACTCTCTCTCTCTCTCTGCTCTGAATCAAAGTTGTATCAATTTACAGGGATGAAATTCAACGTATTAAAGCAAGAAATCCAGATATTAGCCACAGAGATGCCTTCAGTGCTGCTGCAAAAAATGTATACAAATTACAAATTTGCAACACTTATTTTGCTAATTAGGATTTCATTTTTGTGTACTCATTTTTGTTTTTATTTTTATTTTTTGGGCTTTGTTTATTTATTTATTTTTCAATTCACAGTGGGCCCACTTACCACATATTCACTTTGGTCTCTTGCCTGATCAGACAGTGAAGAAGACTACTGTGCTCCAACAGGTACTGTAACTGTAGAGCTTCCTCCCCTCCTCTCTCTGCTCTGCTTCATTGCACACACAAGTTTCTCCTGTGTGTATCAATAGTAACTGTGGAATGTTTTTGGCATTGAATTTTTTCAGTAAAGTTTTAAATTTTTTATGAAAGAATGTGTAAAAAAAAAATAGAGAAAAAATTTAATTTTTTTTACTAAAATTGTGACTTTCCAAATAGACCTATATTATTGTATAAATCACCTGCTATATAAAGTAATTATTTTTAAGTAAATATATAAGTTATTATTTTAAATTTTGATTTTTTTTTTCAGTTTCTTTCTTCTACACCTACGTTCGATTTTATTTTTACATTTCCAAATAATTTGTGCACACGCATCATATGTGCCATGTCATTTTATTTAAGTTGATGTAGCATTTTTTTTTTTTAAAAAAAATGAAGAAGAAAAACTCTCAACTTTCTTATAATATGCTATGATCTTTTCAATTTCACACATAGTAAACATACCCTTTTAGTATGTATGGTACACCTTTTTAAACAAGTGTATCTTAGAATTTCCCTAAATATCTTTAGTCTGATGTATTTGATTGATATATGAAAAAATAAAAAGAGTTTATTGAAGATTGAAAAAAACAAAAACAAAAACTCAAAAATAATTTTAAAAAATTAAACCAAACAAATTTGATAAGTGTATTTTTAATAAAAATAATTAATTAATTATTAATAATTTTTGTTACATATGTACTTTCTATGTAAGAATTTAAAATACAATTTTGAAAACCTAGCTAAAAAAGAGAAGGAAAAAGAAATTTTAATCTATCATTTTGAATTTTTTTTAAGAGATAATAGGTTTAGACAAAATAGGAAATAATTTCTTTTAACTTTCCTTTTGAAAAACATAAGTCATGAAATAATTAGTATTTTTATAATTATTACATTGATGTGTTAGCCAACGGTATTTTTTAAATTATTTTTTGATTCAAAAATTCAAAATTTTAGTTGAAAGTGTTGGAGCTCTCACAACATTTCTCATGAAAAGTCCCTTTGCTATAATATATAGTATAGATATACGACCAAGTAGATAATATGTAATATACATATTGAATTTTTGAATTTTCAATATCATTATTCTCTGACCCTCGAAAAAAATATCATTATTCTCTGATATATCAATTGTATCACCGATATCTATACGTATTTACCAAGACTTTTGATATCAATATTTATCAATATATTGACTATATCATCAATATCAATACATATAATATATATTGCTGATATGAATATGTATTTTGATATAATTATTTTTAAGGAAAAAAAAAAAGAAGAAACATTCATACATTACATATATATACTTTTAATTTTTTTTTGTATTTGGATATATTTGTGTAGGAGGGAGAAGATGTGCTCATGCAAGATGGTTTCTTTGCTCCGGCTAATGTGGGTGTCTCTCCTTTCTAGTGGAGTTGTTTCATTCTGTTACTAAACTAACTCTCTCTCTCTCTCTCTCTCTCTCTCAAACTTGTTCTTTTTCCAATGGTGAAAAAGGTTTAGATGCTAGTCGAGTATGACAACTTTGGTTTCTCCGTAGCTTATAAGCCAATGGTGGTCTTTTAGAGTGTTAATACTTTGCTAGCATGTACTCTTTTTTAGATCCTTTTTAAATGTACTTAAGCTTGGGAAACCACATTTCTTTTTGAAAAAAATGCAAATCGGTGGTATTTTTATAAAGTATTTATAAATTCATGAAAAAATTTATAATTTTAATTATTAAAATTGATAAATTTTTTCACGGATTTGTAAATTTTTTTTAAACAAAACTTGCACTGAAGTGCAATTTCTCCTCTTTTTTATTTTTTATTTTTTATGCTTCACATTTCTCAACAATGTTGCTCTTCTCAGGTAATTAACTAGCTGTACATTTCTTCAAATACTATTTTTTGGGGCGAATGCTAAAGAGTACCATGAAATTAAGCTAAAAAATGTTTTAAATATATGTGAAAATGTTAAAAATTATATTCATTTCAATAAAGAATGTATCGTGTTCCTCAAATTGTTTTTGTCTTTTTTCTTGTATACTAGATACACTTGTTAACAAGATTTATATTTTTAGACAAAATTATAATTTAAAAGACCAAAGTCACACGAAAATTTATTAATGTATTTTATCCAAAATTTAAAATTCTTGGTATTAAAATATATTCGCATAATTTAAGTTTTGGATTGCTATCTTAAGTAAAAGTTATATTATAAAAAAGTATCAAATATTGAATCAACTAACCCATTTAGCTGGCTGTAAGGAATTTTTCTTCTCAATTTCTCCTTTCAAATCTATGATTCCAAGAATCTCAATATCAAAACGGCTATAAATAAGTTGAAATAAGAGGACAAAAAATTGAGGATAAAGGATAGTACATATGATCATCCAAAACCTTAAGTTTTAATACTAAGATAAATGTTATGTATTTCAAATATTTCATCAAATATTCTATCATACCTCTCACATAGAGTGAGATTCACACAAATCTACACTCATATGAAAAATTTGATAAAATATTTAGAATCCGTAACATTACTCGAAAACATGCAATACAAACCTTGGCACCCTGTACTCTAACATGTTGGCCATTTCCATAACTACTTTATCAAAAAGCATATGTAGCACATATCAAAAGAAGAGTCCATATATTTAGTGACAGAGACAGTAATTTTTTTTCAGTTGTGCAGGTTGGTACTGTTTAGCATGCAGTTTTTTTTTTTGAACAGTTGGCATGCAAGCAGTGGGATTTTTACATACTTTTATTTCAATTCCAAAATGTTCAAATTAAAATTGTGAGAAATTAGTTTGGTTGAGTTTTTAAATTTTGATTTAAAAAAAAAAATATTAAAAACTAGTTTGATTAAAATAAACATAAAATATATATGACCAAATTTTCAAAATAATATTTTTCCTCCAAAATAGAGAAAATTATATAAAAATTATGAGTTATTTTATTTTATTTTTATCAAACTCTTATTAGTTTTAAAAGATAAAAAAGAAAACAGATTTTTTTGAAAATTCAACCATATGAGTTTCATCGGAAGCCCAAACAAGCACAAATTGTTGTGGTCAGTCAAGTACATATAAAAATTATGATTTTTTCTTCTTTTTTTTTTTTGTCAAACTGTTACTATTAGTTTTAAAAAATAAAAAATAAAACAGATTTTTTGAAAACTCAACCATATGAGTTTCCTCGGAAGCCCAAACAAGTACAAATTGTTGTGGCCAGTCAACAAGGAAGAAAGGAGTTTTTATTTATGGAATTATGACGGAGTTATAGAATAAGAAATTATGATAGAGAACTTAGAAAAAAAGAAGAAAGATGGAGAGAAGTTGAAGGGAATTTACATGCTTCATTATGTTGGCATAAAGGCCAATATATAGACTTACAAGAGGGGAATACAAACAAAATATAACTTATTGCATATCTAACTTATATCTAACATATCTAACTTTATAAGACTTTACGTCTTAAAAGTTGTCAATTTTTCTAACTCTTTAGGCAAGCCTAGTCATAAGCTTTTTGAAAAATCTACCTAAGAGTAAATACAAAGAGACAAAAATAAATACAAAAGAACTACAATTATTTACTCTTTGCTACAGTTTTTACAATTATATATACTGATACACACTGTCTACCCTCACCGATTTTCAAAGAGATAGACTGTTGTAGATAAGCTTTGGCCGAGTTGATTTGTCGTGTAGCATCGATTGAAAGGATATGGCTGATCACTTTCCGCCAAATAATGCAAGTTGCTCCACGTGTCCTGGATAAGGTTGGAGTCGATCAGGAGACAGCTGCATTTGATAGGGGGTCCACTATGCTTCCATCCTGTTGATGAAATTGTGATATTCTTCATCAGTCTCTGATGGAGGGGAATCCGGATCTTGGCTGTATTGCTCATTCCAGAAATGTTCTACATCATCTGCGGTCATGGTTAGTTCCAACGGAATATCCAAATTATTTCTCTTTTTGAGATTTATTAACATGTTAAGAGCCTCATTAATTTGCGTTGGAGACTTTTGATATGTTATGGGAAAATGGGTTACAAATAATATTCTTCCATCTATAACCATGAATGGCAATTTTGCTGAGCCATGGATGTTGGACGCTGCTTGTGAAACAGATATTAGACTGTCTATTCAATATTCTGTTAAAGAAAATTTTTGGATATTTTCCAATCGCTCTCTCTGGTGATCTTCATCTAAATAATCATCTTCAAATTCAAAATCTTCAGTTTCTTTAAGATACCAAATTTGGTATGGTTGGAAAAAATGTTCTCGTTCTCGCCAACCAACAGTACTGGAGATCTAAAAAGTAAAATATTTGCTCCATCGAAAGCCTTTTATTATCCATGAGAGCATTGTTTTGATGATCATTGGATAATCTATCCATTGAATTGGATCTAAAATTTGAAAAATAACTTGATTAGTTATTCCCCAATCTATATCCTCAAAAAACCACATGTCATGGTTTGCCATGATGGTTATTTTGGGAATTTCATCTTTCAAATTTAATTTATCATAAGATCGTTCTAAGATTTGTCTAATCTTATCATGATGATCTTCAACCCGATTTTTGATTAACATAAAAATTTCTTTTGAAAGCAAAGTTCTTGCTTTTTCAAAAAGACAAATTCTTTTTATTTGTTCAAAAACTGGATCAGAAAACTCATCTGATATGAGGTCTGATAGTTGAAGAAAATTGCTTATTTTTTCAAAATTAAAATCTTCATTCCAATTCATTTGTTTAAGAATATTGAAACAAAGATTTTGCAAATCTTTTAATTTAGCTGTTTGCTCAGCTAATTTGTTGGCCAAAACTCCTATGTGTTTTCAAAATTTCACTTTGTTGTCTACAATGTGAGTTTTCCAAACTCCATTAAGTTCTGTATAAATTTCTCTAGATATACCAGGATTGAAAAAATCTTTTATTTCAGATTCATCTGGGTTAGATGTCTGAATATTAGTTGGAACTGGGTTAGTTCTCATTTGACAAAAATTCTTTGGATAAACAAGCATAGCTGGTGCACTGTAAAAAGCTTTTTTAGCATTGGTCATGCTATCTTATGCTTTATAGCTCGCTCCTGAATATCCACAAACTTGTGTTTTGCAATCATTCCATTCGGTGTAAATTTCAGGTTGTTTTCTTACAAACACAACATAAACTTTTTCTTCTTTGGGGTTTGTTTTTTTAGCAATTGTCACCCAATCTCCTTGAGCGGGTTGTTTACCCTTATCCATTGTTTCCTCTTGGTCTAGAGGTCTTCCGCAAAAATTAAATTTACTTGTTTAGCAATTTAATTTTCTAAAACAATTTCTGCTAAGAAAATCTGTAAGAAAATTGTTAGTACCTTTAAGATATTCTATTTCAAAAGTATATTCAGAAATTTTATTATACCAGGCTAATCTTCTTCCTTGTTCAATAGGTTTTTTATTGATTTACTGCCTTATTATCAGTGCGTACAATAAAATTTTCTGGGGCTAAATAAATATGAAAACTCTTTTTTGCCAATTTTATTGAAAGTAATTCTTTTTCGAAAATAATATATTTCTGTTCATTTGGTTTAAATGTTCCAGAATTTTATCCACAAATTAACTCTTCTTTTTGTAATTTTATGGGTATTGAATGTTTTCTTAGTGTAATCCCATTTTCTGATAAAGGTATCTCCTTATCATACCATAAATTACTTGGTATTGCTTTAAGAACACATCCCCAGCATGCTTCTGAGGCATCTGTTTCTAAAATTAATTTATCACCTGTTTTAAGAAGATAAACATCTGGTAAAGTTTTAACATTTTCTTTAATTTGTTTAATTAAAGCAACATCTTCTGCTATCCATTCAAAAATAACATTTTTCTTTAATTTGGTTAACCACGGAATTTCTATTTTTGAATGATTTTTAATAAAATTTCGTTCATAATTTAAAATGCCTAATAGACTCTGTAATTGTGTTATATTTTCAAGAGTATTAGGAAAATCTCGTACTTTGGACAAAATATGTTCTTGTAATTTTAAACCTTTTTGGTCTAAAATTATTCCCAAAAATTCAATTGATTCTTTTCTAATTCAATCTTTTTTGGAGACAAAATAATTTTATGTTTCTGGAATCTTTCACAAAGTAATTTTAAATGTTTCTTATGCTCCTCCTTGGTTTTAGAGAAGATAAGTATATCATCAATATAAACTACGCAACAATCTCTAAGGTCTTTAAAAATTGTATCAATCCACCGTTGAAATACCTGTGGTACAATATTTAACCCAAAAGGCATAACATTCCAGTGGTAATATCTTCTAGATGTACTAAAAGCTGTCAATTTTTTTGACTCTTCAGTCAATTGAATTTGCCAAAATCCACTTTTACAATCAAATTTACTAAAGATTTTTTATCCTTAGGTTAAGTTAATCAAAACATCTTTTCGTGGAATAAAATATCCATCAAATTCTAAATTTTTATTTAGTCGTTTATAGTTGACTACCATTCGGGCTTTTCCTCTTTTAATTTCAGTATAGTTTCTTACCATAAAAGCTGGACTAGAGTGAGGGCTTTTAGTTTCTTCAATTAACTTTTTGTCTAAAAGTTCCTGGAGTTGAATATCAAATTCATCTATATCTTGTCTAGTATAGATCATCGGTCTTACTCTAATGATAACATTAGGGTCTTTCAATTTTAAACTACAATAACGTGGA